CACTTCTCATTCAAGACTGCGTAAAGTGTATTCCTGTATCTGTGTGTGTGTGTGTGTGTGCGCGCATGTGTGTATGTTGGTTACCCTACCTGAATTCCTTGGAGAGTTTGGTGTAGGCGGGACCAAGCGCTTCCTTCTTCCTGATCTCAGGTACGTGGCGAGCGCGACGTCTTTGTGACAGCCAGTTGTCATGGAGACAAGGAGAGAGCGCTGTGCTGAACAGGAGTGTCCGCGGTCAGCCAACCAGCAGACTGAGAACAGAAGAGAGAAGTGAGGACGCTGGATTTCTGTTTAGTGTAACAACACACACACACACACACACAGAAACACACATGCATACATTCAGATAAAGAAACCCCCCTCCACACACACACACACACACACACACAAACAGTAGGGAACTTGCGAGCATGTGTGTGTGTGTGTGAGTGTGTATAGGAAACTGAGATTGAGTCAGATGTGCTCACACAGAGAAATAACGTTTCAACACAGCGGCTGAACTCTAGCAGGGAGGCGGCCGGGCCGTTGAATAAGTTGCTCAATACTTTTTGACTTTAATGCTTACTTAACAGATTTCACACAATCCTTAAAAAAAACCCTGCAAATACAAAAGCATATACACGGCAATAAGTCAGGCTTCTGTAACTGCAGCAGGCTGTGCAGTTCACCCCAAGTAATCTAAATACATCACGATACAGGTTTCACGACTGATTGTTCCCTACTCTACTAACATAAGAGGAAGCGGTGAAGAAGCACAGATTAAACAAGTTTTAGCCACTATTGCCCGATTCTAAAGTAAAAGTAGATAAAACCCACCCACACCCTGGAACAGGGTTGCACCAGCCAAACGTAAGCCTAGTCTTAACTACACCCAGTCCCAGTGATTCACATTAATTGTTGGGGTGGATTTTTAATGATTTTCTGGTGTCTCACTAACTTATAATTTTGGCTTTTGCAAGCAAATAAAAAGGAATAAAAGAAGAGGTGATTTCACCACTTCAACACTGGAAAAGCAAAATTACTAAAGCTGTGCAAGAACGCACAGGTGCAGAGTCTAGTTTGGTAAGAAGAAGAAACAACTCGGAAATCTGTTCAGAAAACAGTGGAAGGAAAAAGTGGAAAGATGGTCAGCTGCCGTGTTGAGGTCCAGTCGCAGCTCTTCAGTAGCTCTTTCCTTAGAGAATCGAAACAGCTCCCCAGTGCTGTATCTGTCCATCCCTCACAGCTCTCTACTCTCTAAAAGTCTTATTGTGGAGTCGGTGTCATAAAAAAGCTGATATTTTAACTTCTCGTGTGCTCCTCTGCAGGTTCACGATTCACACCACGCCCAGAAGAACGCATAATCCTATATTGCACAACAGGCAAAACTCTTATGTCAGACTTAAGATGCTAAGATAAAACTGATTACGCTTAAGACCTGTTGTAAGCTCTGCTGTTACGACCAGCCCGCTGTGCCTGAAGTTTGGTGGTTTAAAAAAAAGTAAAATAAATGGACAGACGCAAGTTCATCGTAATGCTTTGTGGAAAAGGCACCCACACACGAGCGCACATTTTGTATATTCTTTGCATCTTTCTGCCTTTGGTCCGGTCCTTATTTATTCTCAGTCAGAATGTGATCAGGTGACTGACTCTGCCATTTTAGGATCTTTCACCTATTTATTCTTTAAAGCTTTAGCAATGTGCTGGGCGTCTGCCAGTAGAGAATCAATCGAACAATCAATGCCAGAGTACCTGTTCGACTGGTGACCTGCTTGTGTTTTTTCTCTGCATATTTGGATAAAGGCTGATCTTTGTTTCGTCGTTCCACAGACATTTGCCCCACATCTTTACCCGTTTCTTGTTTTGCAAATTCCAACCTGCCTAATAACCTGCTTATAGGGCTTACCTGGGGTTTGTGTCTCGTGATGAATCATCTGACCTTTCTTGCCTACGTACCAGGAAGCATTCTTGACTTATTTTGCTGTCTCAATATATTTAGAGGGTTTTTTTCCCACCATCACGTAAAATTATTTTTCCAGTCATCCACACTGACTGGAGTTCCTCAGGCTTTAATATAATAGGACTTTGATAAAGCTTAGAATTTAAGGTAGCATCTGTAATTTCACATGCGAAGACCAAAAAAGCCCAAATATTTATGGTCTGTGTCGTATAACGCATGCATATCCGGGGAGTGGAGTGGGGTGGGGGGGGGGATTTCCATAATTTTATTATCCAGCAAATCGCTTTTACTCGTTTCCTAAATAAACCTGTGTTTTTTCCAACCACAACCATTTTCTTTACAGGGTGAACATCCGCCTGCACAGACTTGCTTTAGTTAAGTGTTACGTCACAGTGAGTGGAAGATCATAGCTGCTTTTGAGTACCATTATTGATGTGTGTTGATACAGGACAGGCTTTTGAAAGTTATAAATCCCCACTGACAATATAATAACTCTGACACGAGATGAACGAGTTTATGGTTTAAAGACCATCAGCTTTTGAAAGACCAGACTTTATGAGGTGGATAAAGTTTCACCGGCATGGTCTGTGCACGTGAGGTGAAAATTAAAACATTAAAATATATTTGTTGCATGTAGTTTGTTCTGTAAAAACCAGTCTGGTATGTAGGACTACAATAATTATTCATTTCAGATAAATATGTAAAATGTGTTTTGTTTATGGCTTGTGCACACTCTGTCAGTCAATTTTCATACACAAATCATGCTGTTTACGCCAGAAATAGATCAAAGTGCTCGAACAGAAGTTTTAAAAAGTCATTATGAGGACTGAAGTCTTACTGCGTGACACTGATCCGGCCTCCTATAGCAATGCTTTCTGTGACGGGGAGGAAATCATTACCGATGGATGTCATTTTCACAGATAAAGGCAGTTCTATTGAGTGCAAGGGTTGGCATTGTTTAAAAGTTTACAGTGCTCATATCATGTTTAACGGTTGGAGGCTTCCAATAAAGAGTAGTCGTTCATAGGTCATGGGGAGATAAAAGTGTGATCATATACAGTTCACTGTGTCAAAGGAGGGAGGGCGGCTTAAACTGAGAAAGCTCCATTTGGCTTTTTCCCATTTAAAATGGCATAAAACACAACATGAAACTGATTACAGTATAAGTTAAGCTGAAAAATCTGTTAAACATACATTTTCTTGTTTACAAAAGGAAAGAAAAGGAAATCCTTTAAGTGGCATCTGTAAACAAACCAGAGTTGAAGGATAATCGAGGTTAATTACCACCTGAACTATTTCCGTATTTAAGGTTATGCTTTATAGCTTCTCCTCACTTAACAAGACAGATTACGACAAAAAAAAAAAATAGGAAAACAAATGAGAAGAGTCATTATTTTAACGAAGTCTCACACTCACTGGTCACTTTATTAGGTACACCTTACTAGTGCTTGGTTGGACCCCCGTTTTTGCCTGCAGAGCTTCCTTAACTCTTCATGGCACAGACTCGACATTCCTCAAATTTTAGTCCATACTGACATGATAGCATCACAGTTACTGCAGATTTTTTGGCTGCACATCCATCATGTGAATCACTCATTTCATCACAGCCCAAATGTGCACTGTTGATTTGGGATCTGGTGACTATGAAGGCCATCTGAGTACAATGAACTCACTGTCGCGTCCAAGAAACCACGTTAATGATCTGCGCTTTGTGACATGGAGTGTTCATGGTCAGCAACAATACTCAGGCAGGGTGTGGTGTGTAAATGGGGCACAGACGCGCGCGCGCGCGCACACACACACACACACACACACACACACACCAGCACACACAGACACACACACACACACACACACACACACACACACACACACACACACACACACACACTAACACCAGACCCCTGAACCATTCACAGAAGCTTGGACGGACCCATGGTTTAATGCTGTTTACGCAAATTTCTAACCGTGCTATTCAAATGTTGCAGCAGAAATCGACACTCATCATACTAGGCAATGTTTTTGCAATCTTCTATTGTCCAGTTTCGGTGAGCCTGTGTGATTTGTAGCCTCAGTTTTCTGTTCAGTATTCTGCTGTTGTATCCCATCGTCTGTCTTCAGAGATGACCATCTGCCTTAGCTGTAACGAGTTTAATCGTTTAAACAAATTTAAACAATGCCAACTCTTGCACTCAATAGAACTGCCTTTATCTGTGAAAATGACATCCATCGGTAATGATTTCCTCCCCGTCACAGAAAGCATTGATATAGGAGGCCAAAGGCAGGAGGCCAAATGTTAAATCTCCCCACTCTCCTCCAACATTTGACATCAATAAAGCATTTTCACCCATAGACTGCCGCTTGACCAGCCCGAACGGCTCTGTAAACACTAGAGATGCTTGTGTGGGAGAATCCCAGCAGGTCAGCAGTTCCTGAAATACTCAGAACGGCTTGTCAGGCAACAACCAAAGTCAACGCTCAAAGTCACCTGAATCACCTTTCTTCCCCATTCTGATGTCCAGTTTGAACTTCAGCGAGTCCTCTCGACCATGTCTACATGCATTTAGTTTCTGCAATGTGATTGGCTGACTAGATATTTGTGTTAACAAGCAGCTGAACAGGTGCACCTAACAAACTGGCTGGCGAGTAGTCATTTCAGCAGATTATTTTTGGCACTTTAAGTTATTTAAGAAAACTAGAAAAAGAGAACACCTCAAAATCGTGCACCCTTCATTAAACTTGTAATTTACAGGCACAGAGACTTGCACATGTGCACACAAGAAAGCACACACTCCCCATAATAAAAACCTCAGACCATGCCCTCATTCCTACTTAATAGAAAGAGAGATCTGAGACACTGAGAGGAAGCTTCCAGCTCTCCTGATACTCTTATGACGCCTCACAATGGCGCACAAAGGGATGAGGCAGTTTAGTTATTCACCCCCAACAAAGTGGGTCCAATCAAGTTGTCACGCACACAACAAGGAGAACGGAGAAAGGTGGAAAACTTGGATCATGTTACTAATGTGAACTGGATTTACGAAGTCTATCAAAAGACCGTAAGTGCTGCGACTGCAGTTCGTGTCTCTCTTCAAGACCATAATTCTAGTTAACAGAGTTTGACGCAAAAAGTCAGGTAAGTGCGATAAGAGTTAGATTTGAACAAGCTTCCAGGAAATTAATCTAAGCCAGTGTAATGTTGCCTGAAGCTATATAAACACTAATATGCACAAATATCCTTGAAAAATGTGTCAAGTGTTTAGCAGTGGGTAAAACTAAAAAGCTCTCCTTCAAATATTACCGCCTGCATCGTGGGGTAGTTAAACAAGAACTAACAAGGAAGCATTATGATGGGAAGCAACAGCATCAGACCTGGAACCACTTGTGTGCACATTTTATTTACACAATGTGTGAATGTGTGCGCAGCTACAAAGCGTATCTCTGACGTCTCATAAGTATGTGAAAGCCAATAAATGCATAATGGTAGGTATTGTGTGTGCAGGGAGATGTTAGAGATCGGATAAAAACAACTTGCTCTCCCTTATTGTGTTTGATGCTGAAGAACAGTGAATGAGACAAGCAGCCGTCACAACTGTACACCAGGCGTGGGCAGCATTGTTTCTGAGGCTGACACGGGCTCAGCAGAGTTCATCGTGAACTGAAGCTGCTAAATGTGGTTCATGTTTCTGCAAGAAGCTGAAACAAGAGCTGGACTCGACACATGAAGAGACAGCTGAAATGTCTTCCATTGTTTGTCTCATAGTATAACTACCAAGCTCTACAGCTTTTATATTTTTTCAGAGGTTTAGTTTTTCTTTTATGTCATCGGAGCCATAACTTGTGTGCTACAGACTGTATATAAAATATTGACATAAACACAGAGATGTGCAGTCCTGTTTTGGTGTCTTGGAGGCCGATTTAATGAACCAGCCGTAGAACAGATTGAGATACCAAAGGACCGTTTCAGATGATCACAGCTTAAAGTGCAACCTTCCTTTTAATTCTTTTTAAGCCTGATGTGGAGGATCGTTTTTAAAAAATGAACATCATGTTGTCTTCAATAAGACTTGAACTCGGCAGTTGAGTCCATTAGCATATCAGTGAAATGTCTGCTGCCGCATTAGTGCGAAACGTGTCTTTTTCTAAGCTTTTATACAGTTTGACTTCTTTTTCCAACCAGAAGAGTTACCTCAAACTGATTCTGTCTGGCCTCTATTTTCAGACCCTGAAGCCATGCTCATCCTTCTTATATCTTAAAAAAAATAATAAAACAAGAAACAGAATAACTTGAAAAAGCTACTTTTTTCAGAACTTAATCCAGAAAGGTAAACTTTCGTGGTTATGGCTTACAGCTCGTGAAAAATCAGCTATAATTCTGAAGATCAATCAAAAAGGTTTCAACAGAAATGTCAGAATAATGAAAATTCAGTACAAGGTTCGAGCTCCTTTCTGTAAGTGTCTCCATCGATGCAGCGTGGCACTTCGGCTGAGGCGTTACTGAAGTCCAGGTTGTTTCATAGTGGCCTTCAGCTGGTCTGTGATTATTCGGTCAGGTGTTTCTCATCTCTCTCTTGACAATACCTCGTAGATTCTCTGAGTTCCGATCAGGAGAGTTGGGACAGCATCAGCATGCTCAGCAAATCATTTGTAGTAGGTTTTGGCTCAGTGGGCAGGTACTAAGTCCTCTTGGAAAAGGAAGTCTGCATCTCCATAAACCCTGTCATCAGAGGGAAGCATGAAGTGCTCTTAAATCTGTGTTGACTTTGGACTTGATACAGTGGACATACCACCAACAACAGCAGCAGATGACATGGAAACCCAAACCATCACAGAGAGCGCAAACTTCACCCTGGTCTTCTAAAACCTTGTATTTTGTGCCTCTGCACTCTTCCTCCAGGATCTAGATTTAATTTCTATTCATGGTAAATGGTAAATGGCCTGCATTTGTATAGCGCTTTACTCAGTCCCTAAGGACCCCAAAGCGCTTTACACTACATTCACCCATTCACACACACATTCGCACACTGGCAATGGCAAGCTACATTGTAGCCACAGCTGCCCTGGGGCGCACTGACAGAGGCTCATAGTTTTATTTTTCACAGTTTAACAGGACTTTGGAGCAAACAGCCCAGTTCTTTCTCTCCTTAGCTCTTGTAAGATGTTTCTGACACCGTCTCTGGCTCAAGAGTGGCTTGGTATTAGCTGCTCCTGTACTGAAGACGCCTGCGCGTGGTGGCGCTTACTGCACTGACACCAGCATTAGTGCACTCCTTGTGAAGCTCTCCAAAGTTACTGACGTCATGTTTTTAACGTGCAGTCATCCGTGTTGCTTGTGCACCTTTTCCAACCACACCTTTCCCTTCTATTAATATGCTGTGATGCAGCATTCTGTGAACAGCCAGCTTTTTCAGCAATGACCTGCGTTTTCCCCTCATTGTGGAGGATGTCAAAGATCATCATCAGGACAACTTTCAAATCAGCAGTTTTCCCACTGACTGTGCACTTTATGTGTAATAACTATAGAATATGAACGTCCAACTTTTTAAAATTGAATTAGGAAAAAATAAACTTTCTCAATGATGATCTAAGATTTTCTAAAGTTGTTTTTGATTGTTTTGATTTCTTTAGTACGCTCCGCGGTTATGATTCTGCTGGGGTTTCATGACAGACGAGGGCATTCTTCAGCCCTGAGCTGACTCACCTTTAAACTGAGCTATGACAGCATTAAATTGTCTTGAACACGATCTCTAAATAAATAGAAGACACAGCCGTCTTCTATCAGGATGGAATCTGCCACAGCCGGCCCTACCGGATTAAAAGGAAGTTTCATTTGAATTCCTTGGTCATCCCCGCTCGACTAATGCCACGAGACTTACGAGAAGTCTTTGATTTTGTCAGGAAACAATTACAGCTATTTAACTGATTACAGAGCCCTGTGTCGTCTTCTCACCCGGCAGGTGCTCTGACATATCTAGGAACTCGCTGTTGTTGGCTCCTCTGCGCAAAGTTGCCTATGTTCACGAGCTTTGCCGGTTGCGCTACAACATGACGAGACATGTGTGTGCACATGTGAGTTAAACTTGTTTAACAGCAGAGCAGTGTGGCGGGTCTCTAGGAAAATGATAAGCATGTGCGTGTGAGTGTGTAGCGCTAACAGTTTCTAATTGTGTCTTGATGAGTGACAGAGATCAAGCCCAGCCTAATTAGCACCACTGAAATTCTCTCTCACACACACACACACACTCTCATATACACAATGAATACACTGTGTAGTCAAAAGTATGTAGACAGCCTTGTACAGGAGAACACAGGAAGCCTGGATATGTGTAAATGAAATACATTGTGCCTTCCTCCCCCTCTAAAGACCACAGATAAAGTATTTGCCATAAAACGTGTCAAAATGTTTAACAATGAGATGTCGGACTTGTTTTTCATGATAACCAGGAGCCACCTGCCTGGTTGCAACCTCACAGTGAGGACACACGTTGAGGAAGTCATCCTTCAGCAAATAATAGTCCCACGTAATGTGGTAAGGACATTTCTTGCTAAAAAATAGAAAATATTTAAACAAAAATTTGAGACGTTCAAGTGACGTTAGAACCAGGCCAGCTGTTTATCTCCCGTTGCCCACCACCTGCCTCGAGCTCCAAAACGAACGCTTAGATAAAAAGCACCACTTGTCTTCTCGTAAATCTCAGCATCTAGAAATGCCAAACCACTTGTTTAAGAAAAACGTAGCTATATTTAGAGACTGGTCTGATTCAACAAGGCCATGAATCAGGGGTTAAACCGCAGCCTTCACCTTTCAGACAAAGCTCATATCCTATAGAAAGCACTCTCCAAGGAGTGACTGCTTGTGTATTCATGCCCACAGTCCCAAAACAAGAGATTCCAAAATAATATGTGAGTAATGTTTATATGTCCACAAACATTGGGCCATAGAGAGAGAAACATACAAGGCTGTCGCTCGCTGTAGATCAACTCAAGGTCACTGAATTCAACCACACAAAAGAGTGTGAATGCTAGATCTGAGTGAATAACACCGGTGAGCGTGCGGTTACGTTGATTAAAAAGGGGGAAAAAAAACAACAACCATGGGGGAAAGAAACTCCTCCGGCACCGTACAGCTTCCTGTAAAGATTAGACCTTTATTGAGAAAATTCCAGGTCGGCTTATGACCGCACAACCCGCCGTCTCCAACTGGGCCGATTATTGAATTTAATACACACACAAACATCCTCGCGCGCACGCACACACAAAACATACAATGTAACTAGAGCCCTGTTGTGAGGCGACATCGATGACGCGTGTTGGATGGGATTATCCCTCCAGCTGTACTCTCACCCGCAGAGAAGTGAGGCTCATTTGGCCCCACAAAGCTCACTGTGGTTTTTCCACACACTGATAAATCCCACCCCTGCTTTTTTCCCAGCATCTTCTCCAGCTTACAAGGTTAGCCTCAATGATTTATCATGTGTCATCTTGGTTTATCTCTGCTTGCATCGGGGCTGACTAGCCCGATTTATTTTTTGAAAATAAAAAATATGACTTTGATTCATAACTTGTTAAGGGCCAGAAGCCAAAAAGTGGCTTTGAAATAAATCACTCACTCCAGCAGTAATTGTGCACCGTGGCTCAATAATCCAGGAAAATGTCTCCCTCTGTTGGTCTGACACAAATATTACAATCATGGCGAGATAAATGACTTTTTATGACTGTTAGCAACTTGCTTAGAATAAGGTGTCATTTAAACATTTAGAATGCAAACTGCAAGAGTAAAAATAAAATTCATCGTCAGAAGACGATGCTATGGATAGGGTGGAGGCACGTAATTCACTGTGGTCACCCTTAAAGCGAGCAGCTGAAGGAGGAAGGCAGAGAAGAAGAATCTCTACTGATTTTTATGCTAATCTTTGGATTCTCTTGTTTAATTTAAAGTACATCTTTGATTCAGCTGAAAATTTACATTAATTGTGTGAAAAAAAACCGAGTCCAGTGTTATTTTAGCTAACACTAGTACAAGCCCTTCAGTATTGTTTGGTTTCTTTGGTCTGCTGGTGCTGTTCGCCATGAAATCACAGACACACAATCCTTTTTAAAGTTGTTGTAGATGCATAGCTATATATTCAAAGGAAAGGGGAGCATTTCGGTCACTTGCTAGGTGGTTATTAGGCAACATGTTGACACAATATATCGAATTCAATTCTTGGTAATCTAAATAAGATTTTGCCATCACGATTAAAATGATGTGATCCTTGTATTAGGTGCTGTGGAGCCATAAAAGGGGAAAAAAAACAGGTAATTTAAGCCTGTTGCTAGGTGGTTGCCAGGCAATATGATGACATCACAATATCTGACATCGATGGCAATCATAGACCATGAAAAGTCAATGACACATTGTGACTGCAAGGGACTACAGGGCAAAACAAAAGTGGGTGAAGTGAGCGGGATAAACTTTTCTCACCTTAGAGGTGACTGAAATGAACACTGATGAAACTACAGCGTGGTTACTACTAGACACTCCACGTTGCAGTTGCCTAGGTAACCCTCCAATGTATTTACGCAGGTGTAGCAATGGATGTATGGAAAAAAAAAAGAAAGAAGGGCCAGTAAGTACACGGGGCGTAGGTTTTTGTGCTTTAACACGCAGCATATTTTGCAGCCATGGCAGTTTTACTTATATAGTAAACTCGCTGTGCTTGTAAATAGCTTTAGCGTGGTAAATATACCTGTTTGACCTTTATGGCTGACAACACTGCGCTTGTGATGAATTACAGAACAAAGAACATGTGGCATAACTAGACTTCCTAGCCTCCCAGCATGAAAAGACATGCTGAGGTGTGAAGGGTTTAGTAAAATCTCCAAGACACTGAGACTGAGTGAAACCTGTCAGGCCCTTTGAATACTCATTCTCAATACGTGACTCACCATTTAAAGCACCGTGTCTGTTTGGTTTTGTGCGTTTCTTGGTTGTTTTTGCATAATCCATCAATTAAAAATTATAAAAAGAAAAGCCTTACCTGCTGACATGTGCTTAATGACTTGGGGACGAGGATTTTATAATAACACATGGCAGGAGTAAAGGTTATTTCAATAAGAGCGTGTTTCCTCATGCAACACTTGGCTGATGTAAAATACTTTGTGAGGGAAAGAAAATGAGGAACATGGTAGAAGTCAGTTTCATTTAAACTCTGTGAAGTTCCACAAACCTGCATTTTTTTTTTCAATAGGAGTGACACCTCTGAAGTCTGATTGTATAGAAGCCAATGTGAAAACAACCCATAGCTTCCTTAATCTGTAACTTTAGTAAACACTTCCCTGATGAGTTAATGGCCTGAGATTTACATTTTAATTAATTGATTTATGGGCTTTGGGCTTTTAATTGTTTCTTTGAGATGAAATTGACAGAGAAAGAAGCCCCTGCTCCAAAATCAACAACTTCAAGTTCCACTGAAATCTGCAGCTGTCTACATAAACAAGCCAAATGCCTTCTGGAGAAAGGATTTATGGATAGACAAGACAAAGATAGAGCTATCTGACCTCCATGACAAGATGTATGTTTGAAGGAGTAAAGATGAGGTTTTCAAACCTAAGAACATTGTATTGGTGGTCACGCATGGTGCTGGTAGCATCATGCTCTGGGGCTGTTTAGCTCTCAGTGGTCTTGAACACAGTTGGGTGTTACATCAGGTCAAAGATGAGAAACACTTTTAAAAAAACGATCTTGGGTAAAACAGGCTAACATGAAGTCTCTGGAATGATGTTCCCAAACCCTACTGAAAACTTGAACTATGCTTAAAAGCTGGGTCCATGCCAGGAAACCGACAAATTTAAATAAACTTTACCAATTCTGCCATGAAGACTGGTGAAATATCTAGCCAGAACTATAGCAGATGCTTGCTGATGGCTACCAAAAGCATCTGGTTGAGGTGCATCTAGCTAAGAGATATTTAAACAAATGTTAATAGGATATGCATGCATATATTTCAGCTTGTATTTACAATTTTGAACCTGTGTAGATTAGAAAAAAATCCAGTAAATCCAACCCTGATGCTGTCCATCAAACAGATGTATGCTGTATAATCATGTCACTCTGCAAAAATACCAAACCAAAAATCATTAAAAACCCCAAATTACGAGGACATTCATGTCCATAATGAGTGTATGCAAACTTATGACCACAACTGTATGCAAAGGTATCGACTGTGAGGTCACCAGGTGGTTGACATTGGCATTTTGGAGCTTACCATCAGCTAACATTATTGAGCTGCACTGCAGTCATAAAATGCAAAGACACATATCGGCTAGTTGATGCTAAGCAAACACAAAAAACAAAAACAAACAAAACTATAATTTCACTCACGACAGCTGAAGTAGAAACTTCTCAGATGGTCCATACCTCACAGAAATTCATGGCACTAATTAAATAATCCATTATAAAGAGTCTCCGACAGCAGGCATAGGGTACTTCCACTGGATTAGCCTAGCAGTCGGCTCAGCTCAATTAACATGGCCACGCCCCTAACACGTTTAGCCAGGCAGATGAGTGAACAAAAAAAGCAAAAAAACAGTCGTTATGAAAGGGGAAGCTAAAGAACGTTTCTGCTTCCAGGACTTAACAAGTTTAAAATACCATCCTTATCTGTTCTCTTTTCGCTCTGAAATATTGGAACAAAAGCTCATTAGCCTGCTCTCTGCGGGGTCTGCATACTGCTGAGTTCCTTATTAACAAATCACTCAAATTCAGCACTGTTGGAAATGACACGTTCGTGTACTTAAATGAACCTGCAAAAGTCTGACCTAGTGTTGAATTTACAATCCCGATTGTTTAAATACATTCTTCGTAAATCTGTGAAGATAAGACGTGCTTATACATCTTATCTCTGCTTTTGCTAACCTTGAAGTTCAGAAAGCAAGCACGTCCGTACAACACAGATATACTCGGCAGGCTATACGTGCACTGAATGACACAGGAACCCAACACTGACTGCAAACGCAGGTGGACATTGTCACTATGCTGTGACATCAACCCCTGCAATGTTTTTTAGACATGGAATAAATTAATGAATATGTTGGGTTATGGAGCCTCAGATGAACATATCTGACCTAGAGAGTGGAGACTGATGAAGTGCAACACAAACAGACACACATTTCAGCTAATTAAATAATAAAATATCACCAATCAAAAAATGAAGTTCTCCGATGGTCTGTAATACACAGCAAGCTGTAATATTTGTCAGATGATTCTATTACCCGATTTCAATTCTGATACCCAATTTTGCTGTGCAAGAAACTGCACAATGACAATAAAAAGCTCTAAGTCTATTAAAAATGCTTTAACAGCAGCACATACCTGTCAGTCAAAGCAGCCACATGTTAACATGCTTTTTAATGCTGTGAGGTTGGACATTTAACAGGTGAGTCTGTGGGGATTTACTCAGTTCTGAGCCCAGCCCTAAAGAGCCATTAGAGAAACTGGCGTTTTTAGCACTTCTGCATTTAGCTTCAATTTTTCAGCCCCACAGACTGCAGCCCGGCGCCCTTTTGCATCCTGTTTAAAGCATCTCTAAGCTGCCTTCAAGCACCTATGTGAGCTTCAACCATGAAACCTCGTAAAACGTTACAGCTTGCAAATCAAAAGGTAAATGGAATATACTTCTTTTTTTTTTACTTGACTTGAGACTTAAAGGTGTTTTCTTACTACAAGCCTCAGTCACCTATTCACTCAAATACTTTTTCTATGCCTAAGCATATAAAATTCACAGACACACACTGATGGGTGCATCAGGGGCAACTCGGGGTTCAGCATCTTTCCCAAGGAAGCTTAGCCACAGGCTCAATAATACCAATCAGAGGGAATTCCAAGTGTCTATTAATGTGCATGAAAATGTATCCAAGGATTATGTCCATCCTTTATATACAGTCTATGGCATTAGCATCACATCCTGTTTTATTACCAAATTAAAAAATATTGTACTAGTATGTTGTAAGTCACAAACAAACAGCTTCCCCAGCTTTGCCTTATGCTGCACTGCACTTCTGTGCTCAGTAGGGTGCAGTGACATCAGATACCTGTGAAGCCCCCCCCCCTTCCCCGCCCCGCCCCCCCAACGCTGTCACTTATTAACAGGTAGTACAGTATGAAGGAAGTTTCCAGCTGCCCTGGACACATTCCTGTGTGTAATGGTATCCAAGATAGTTTCTCATATTTGCCAGCAAACACAGACACTCAGCTTTGTGGTCTGTGGTTCACTTTGATCATTTTTTAAAATATATTTAACATGATTTAATAAATGTGTGACTAAAGTAACAGTGAAAATCCAAGATGATAAAGTATTTTATGTTTTGTACGTTATACAAAGTATGTTATGTATTATACTGTATAGCTATCTCAGAGGGGGGTCAGGCCTCCTTCATTATCATATTGTTGCCATGGCATTTCAAACTCTCTCCAGAGGGAAGCCGTGGATGACAAAGAGGTGATGAGAGGAGTGAAGATCTCCAATTCACTGGGACAGCATATAATAGCCGGGGAAGAGTAAAGAGCACACAGGCAGATCCAGGATACTCGCTCAGAAGATGAGCGTTGTTCCCATGAGGAGAGTCCTGAATGACAACGGTAAGACCTGCTATGCAATTTTAAACAGCCCATCATCCTGTATGCAGATTACACTAAGCCGCTGTAGCCTTTTCTTCCAGTGCTGCTCTTCTTAAGTGGACTTAGGGTTTTTCTTCTGCAGGAAACTGCTTGACACTCATTAAATCACTGCTGTTTGATATTCATTAATTTATTCCATTTGCACTGACATGGCCTTATTGGACACGTTTCTGGTCAATTCCAGCTCTGTGTTTAAACATTCATGAGTGCCGTAAAAGCCGATTACACTGTGTCTGTGTTTCTCTCTATTAATCCAGTTTAATTAGAGCCAAGTGGTCCCTGAACTTTTGGATGTTAAGTCTCAAAGAAAGTGATGTCACCCAACACTAAACACTGATTAAAACTATTGGGTTAGCTAATGTGTGCCTCTTTTCTATCATTTCATTACATTTTAGACAGAAGAATCTAGGTTTAAGGTCAGAGTAAAGGTTAGAGGTCATTCAAGTAGTTGTTAAAGTTAGAATAACTCTGCAGGAAAATAGATGGAGGTCAATGTAATGTCCCCTGAAGCGATGGAAACACAACTGAGTGCATGTGTGTTGGTGAAGCAGCTGCACACAGATGGTTTTAGAGGGTCAGTCAGAGGTGGACCTTTGTGCAGGGTCAGGCAGCGGTCCATTATTTATTCATGCCGACGTATCCGAAAGGCCGCCTAATTGCACCAGGAGGAGCCCAATTACGCACAGGGGCCTGCGGCCGCTCTGTCTCGCATTCACAGGAAAGTGGGAGGTGGATCACATGTCAGCTATGACCGATGCTGTGCGTCTTATTTACATTTGCAGAGCTCGGGTTCAGCTCTGTAAACACACAGTGTTTGTGTGTGTTTATATGCTCGCTGGAACAGCAGATGCTGGCAGGAGTGCCAAACAAGAAAAGACAAATGTTGTCAGATAGACTGGAAATTGCTTACAGAACCTCTTGACAAGTGTTTGTTTTTTCTCTGATCATGACAGGCAAAGGTAAGGTGTTTAAGGTGCTGCTGGTTGTGTATTTGTGTAACATGAGCACACATACATAGTCTTTGTGTTACAGTGGGCTCCGGCGAGGATGTGAATACGAGCTCTGGGACGGAGAAGGTGATCAGCAAGGAGCCTTTCTGCTCCCTGCTCCCTCGACTGCATTCATCTTCTCAGTCTACAGGTGATATCCAGTCTTAAAACTTGCACTACTTATCTCATATTGTATTTACCAAACTGCAAGTTGCAAGAGAAAACGACAATTTTTGCAGAACTTTCATCTTGTGAAAAATTAAGCATACAGTATTTTTGCTTTCATGGTAATTTAGAGGGTAAGTAGCAGGAAAATGCTGCTAATTAAATACTCAATTAACTGACTGGTCATCAGTGAGTGACAGCGCCTATATAAAAACAGAGGTTTTGGCAGTTTGCAGGTCAGTATTAACACTTGCCAAGGAGAAAAAACATTTGCAATGATTTTAAAGAAGCAACTGTTCCTGCCATCAGTCTGGGAAACCCAACATTGTACAGTGAGATTATTCACAAGTGGAAAACATTCAAGACAGTCACCAGTCTTCCCAGGACTGGACATCCCAGCAAATTCACCCAAGGTCAGACCGGGCAAAGCACAGAGAAGCTCCAAAAGACCCCCAAAGCAACATCTCAGGCTCTAAAGGCCACAGTTAGCATGTTAAACATCAGTGTTGATAACAGTACAATAAGAAAACGCCTGAACAAGTAAGGCTTGTTTTGAAGAGTTGCAAGGAGAAAGCCTCTTCTCCCTGAAAAAGAACACGAAAGCAGATGCAACTTTGTAAAGTTACATTTTTACATGTTTGAATACAGAGCAAAGGAAATCTTTAATGTTATTATTAATACCCGCTTTTAAAAAACAGCTGCCAACAGAAACTAACAATATCTAACAAACCCGACACTTTTCTCTCTATTCAGATAATCAGCACCGTTCTTGTATCGTCTCTCCAACTTCCTCCCTCCACCTCTCTCGTGCCGCCTTTGTTTTTCCTCAGCCTATCATCTATCTGATCAGGTTTACCTACAGGCTGCAGATATTTTCCAGCAGCTGTGTAGAGACAAGCCAGCCAGCCAACATCAGCGTCTACATTATGGAAAAAAGACGGAAACATCGCTGCTCAAGAGCGGGGACAAAACCATGGAGAAGCATGTGTTCCAGCTCGCCTTTAACACACTTAAATGTAAGATTACAGTGAACGATTTAGAATAGCGCACCACACTTTAACCATATTTAGTTTTATGAATGCAGATGAACTGTACTGTATATCCAGCATGGAGGGAGCCCACTGGTGGTTAAACATAAAGTCAGGGGGAAATTAATTTGATCCCCTCTACTGCCACCTCTGAGGACTTTACCCAACTCCTAGGGATAAGGTAGCCTTATCTCTATAATGAATAACAGAGGAGAGCAGCATATGTCAGCTCCAATATTCACTTTCTGAATAGCATCTTCAACTGCAGGCAGCAGATTAAATAATATATAGTCATACATTTCATTTCTCCACGTGACTGCAAATTGCTTGAGTGGAAGTGCAGTAGATGTCTGTTTGGGAGGTGATAAGAGAGTGCATGTCATGGGCAGACACACACGCACACACATATAAATTCACTTTAAAAAGCCACAAGTGCGCATATAGTGAAAAACACAACGTTTTACATACATTATTTGACCATTTAGGTGGCAGCAAGTTTTTCCAGATACCTGTCTTTTCTTTTTGGTTGTCCACAGCCACCTACAATGTAGGTAAACAGAATTTCTTCTGAATATTAAAGCGCAGCATTTTGTATTTTTGCAATAAACAGTTTGTAAAACACGCATCATTGATTCTCTATGACAAAACAAGAAATAATCATCCTCATTTTGAACATAAGACAGCATAGTGACTAAGTGTCACTACCTATTTAAATGTTCTGTAAAGTTCCTTATATAGGTTCATCAGAGACCAACATGGTGCAGTCGTTTGATACGATGTGAATCTGTTCCCATGTCACCATTTCCAGTCACGAGGTGTGTCAGTGTCACTATGACAGAACCAGCTAACCTTAAAAGGCTTGTTTCTTATGGGTAAAACATGGTTACATTTGACTGGCAACTTGTTTGGTTATAGAATGATTCTGGGTAGACATCCGCATCTAAATGATAAATCTCCTATACTGTGTAGCATTTAGGCTACTTTAGCCTTCCCACTATTGGTGCACATCTGCAAGCCACTTTACACCCCACCTCCACTCCTAGATCCCCCTTTTCTTCCAGACTTTATCAGTCACATCTGTTGTCATCTCTGTACCACCGGCAATATCATGACTACAGCAGCCTCGACTGAAACACATTCATGACATTCATATGTATCTGCATGTAAAGGGAATTCCTGTTTTAGTGTGTATTGCATAGTGAACTTGCACAGGTCTCTGGACCGCCACAGAGCATAGCAAACACCCCCCTTCAGTTCTTGCCCAGCAACACGAGTAAAGGAAGGGAAGGGGCAAACAGACAGGGTTGGCGAGCTGCTTTTGAAGTGTTGCTGCATGTTGCATTTTTCATTCACTGGATAGAATTCTTTATCATGAAAATTGCATGAATATCTATGAATGGAATATAATTTTTTTTTTTAAAAAAAAGGTTTTCAATCATGTAAAAAAAGATGAATACAGAAGACCTATCTAAACACACACAGACAGAGCACTCACGCACACACACACACACACACACACACACACACACACACACACACACACACACACACGCACGCACACGCACACACACCAACATGCAACATACTCACTCTAAATCTGGGTATTGGCCTGGTTGTTGCCACACAGAGCTGGTAACCATAACAGAGCATTTGGCAGCTAATGAGGCAGATATTCTCTCAGGAGGAGGTTGAGACAAAATTAGAATTAAAAGAGGTGAATTTGGACTTACATTTGTCAGCTTATCAGAGGCACGACACCAGCTGAACACTAAACTTTCTGCATTCATTTTTTTAACCACCTGGTACCGTCTTGCTGACAGAGCTCAACAGTGACTGAACACTGTTTTAATGGCTCCAGTTCCAAAAGTGATTTTCTGGAATAAGCATTTACTCCACTGACAATGTCTAAAGTCCTTATAGAAAGACTTTTAAGCCTTGAACCAACCAGTTATGACTCATGGCAGTGAAAGAGATAATTTAGATCAAAAAATAAAATGAGGCAAAAGTTACAAGACATGTCTACATAATTACTGTCTGCATAATTGTCTACATAACTAACCAACCTATAAGCAAAACTATGCCAGATTTCACAGGAAATGAATTCCAGCCTTGTCAGATTTAATCCTTTTTGTGTTGTTTAATAGCTTTTGTTGTTTGTGTGCACTGAAATGTACACAGACTTACACATTTCCATGGTAACAGCAATCACAAATGTCACTGTTTCAGTTCAGTACTTCTTTCATGTGAAAGCGCAAATAAAATGCAAACACAGGCTTGTGGTTTCCACAGGAGCTCGCAGTAAGTCTACTTTGGATGCTCACAAAATTATGGCTCATAAACAGGTTTTTTCCTTCGTTTTACCACCGGAACCTTTCTGTTGAGCTCTCATTGAGTTCCATTTGCCATAACCTCATGATACTTTAGCACTATTGTGTTTTCTGCTGAACAGGAACACTCGTTTCCAGAAATAATTTTCTCGTTACTCTGAGTAATTTCTTGGCAGCAGGGACAGACTGACAAGATAATTCAGGCTGGTTATTTGACTCCATCCCAGGCCACTTAAACTGACACTATGTGTTATTTAATACTGCCTCCATATCATAATTTCTGCTGCGTCTGTTATCCCTGTATTGTTGTTGTTGTTCCTGCATCATCGTATGTAGCAATGTTGCAACTGACCAATCACATTGCTGTGATGTCATAGCTTTTCAATGTGGTCGGGGGAGTGAACAGCATTTCTTTTTTTAGAAAACTAGTGGAACAAATGGTAAGCATTTCAAGTGTTTTATATATATCTATATATATATATATTTCAAAAATAACTATATTATTAATGAAATGAAGCTGCACCAATCAGATGTTCTAACATCTCCATCACCACTGGTTGAAATGCAACCACAAACAATAACAGAGGCTGTTATCGTTCCGTTTTTAAATATTACTTCAACTGGATATATGGGAATGATTCCTGTTATTGCAGCATTCTGCTAGAAACAAAGTGCCTTGAGACACAAGTTAAAATCAGTGCAATGCTGGCTTCTTGGAAGCAAAATTAAAAGAAGTGAGGGGTGGCTCCACATGTGATTAAAGTGTTTTCAGTAAACTGGTTTTCCATGTTTAGCAACAAAATTGTGTCCAAAATAAAAGTGAATACGTGTGTAGACAGTTGTCTGCATCCATAAGTGTACAAAAGGAATAACTGAACAGTTTTTAGGTTATTATACATGTTATTATATGTGTTATTACTCCCCTAAGGCTCAAATTCATGTTGGTCTGAAAGTTATTTGGATTAAAAATGCAAAGCTTTGGGACAAAGAGCCTCTGAACCTGAGTTTTCAAGGTTCTGGCTGCAGGTGAACCCTCAAAAACCCTCTAGGAATACACTAATCAATGCACATACTAATTTATAAAGGGACCAGTGACTTACAAAACAAATAGCCTGCCTGTTTTAAACAGAGATACGCAGTAAGCTCAAGGATTTTTGTTTAGCTCTTTTCATTTTTAATTAACTCTGATGGGCACTTTAGCATTTCTTCTTCATTCTTCCCCCCTCTTGCTCTCTCCCTCCTGGAACTTTTTATTCCCAAATTCATTATACCAAAAGTTTTTTTTTTAACTTTATGTGTAAAGTAGCAAGTAGAGATTGAATGACTCATACTGAGTCTTTTTAGAGGTCCTTCTACTCATTCCTGCGCTCTACTAATGCTGCTCAAATTCACCGTCAGGGCACAGGGAAATATCCCAGCGTCCAACACTGACTGGCAGCGACTTTGCAGGCTCTGACATCTGTAGTTCTGACTCTGAATCAGAAATGATTGTGTATTAACTAGAATAATAACCAAAACACAGTTGCTGTTAGCATATCAAAAAGACACATGACCTTGGTTCAGCTGAAGACAGAGCTTCAACATATCAGCAAATAGAGCCAAACTGTCTATATGACTAAACAAGTGACAGAGTATGATTATCCTCCGCTTTGATGGACACTACGATTCAAATTTCTCTTAATTCATTAAAATTCAGCCGATGTTTTTTTCCCTTTGTTCATTAACAACTTTGTTTTCCTCCTAGATCAAGATTTACTCGAGGACATCATCTCCGACAGCTGCTTCCATACTTCGCAGCATATTGTGAGTCCCACCAGATTTGACATTTGGGTGTTTACAGACTCAAATCCAATGTTTTTTTTAAAAAGAAAAAAAAGAAATACGCTCACACACTGAGTGTGTGAAACAGTCTGGGAGTTATCTGTCTTCAAATAAAGTGTTTGTGGCCGTATGAGCGCGATTCATCCGAATATTGCGGAATGATAGCGAGGGAGGCAGGGACGCAGTTAAAGGCCATTTGTATTCAGACGTGTACATGGTCTGGCTGGTTATAGGTGGCAAGTGATACACACAAGGGAGAGGCAGACACACTCTCTCTGACTGGGAACGTAAATTATGCTGTGAAACACTGCGCTATGACACATACATGGATAAGAGACTCGCTCCGCTCGTGCGTGGCTCTGTGTGGGAATGATAAGTCGAGGGAAACGCAGAGAATGGGCTGAGGCCGTTAGTCTGCGAGTGCGACTATAAAACCACCACACAGCTCTTTATAATTCAACACACATCCTTACTGCAACATACATATTCTGCCTCCCACACACACACACGCACAACCTGACAAAAAGAGTGCGTGTACACAGCCATAAGGAAGAGTGCAGACGGACGTGCTCATCATTTTTACTTTACTCTTTGGTGATCATATATTCCTGTTTTGAAGAATGAAGGGAACCCTTAACTTCAGCTTTTGTGAACATTTCACTGCCTTCTAACTCCTTTGTTTGGTTTTCTGGTTTGAAACGTCACCGTTTTGACTCAGTGTGACACAGCGTTTGGATTAAAGGGAGGCTCAGACCTCTCAGTAGAGAGCTGAGCTTCCCCTCAAGCTACAACATTTTGAGTCAAAGGCCTAAAACAAGAGAAATAAATAGCCCAGAATGTTTTTAAAAGAGGGCAGGATGTTACACAGTGGTGAACAAGGCCCTGTCCAATTTTTTTGAGATGCATTGCTTCCAGTAATTCAAAATGTGCTGATATTTTTCTTAAAATAGCACATTTTCTCAGTTTACTCATTCTAAAATATATTTGTAAAATATAAAATACGGTTTTATAACATTTGCCCAGCTTTTTTTTTTTTTTTTTTGCCCATTTTTGCACAGCAGTCCAATTGTTTCAGGACTCAGTCAGTAATAAAGCCCTGCAATGTTTTTCAGTCTGACGACTTGCTGCCTTTGGCGATGGTGATGCTGTTCGACTTTCAGGACAAAAAGTTTTCTCCGTGTGAACGTCCAACGATAGAAGGGCAAGAACCCATCCAGGAAGTCAGGAACCTGGAGAAAAGTCTGCACAGGTGTGTGTGCGAGTGTAAAAGTCACATGCGAACAACAGAAGTTTATTTATGCATAACCAAATAACCAAAACTGAATCAAAAAAACATGAAAATGGGCTCTGCTGTGTTTTTACAGGTGTAAGACCAAGCTGGCTGCCTCTCTAGCTCGCTGCAGAGTGAAGCAGAATCTGCAGAGTGTTTCCTGCTTCCTGTCCGACAGCGTCAGGACCAAACAGCACCGAGCAAGAGGTCTGCCACTGTGCGCATGGATCGACACTCTCAAGATCAGGTAGGTGCTAGTTTCAGCATGATTTTTTTTTGGCTTAATGCAGCATGTGTTTAATGCCTGGTAAAGTTTACTGGTGGTTAAAGCAGAATACTGACATGCAGCTAATCGGAGGGCACTGGTGTCTCTGTATTACAATCTAGTCTCCTGTATCTGTACCTGGTGATGTGTGTCTCTGACAGCATGTTTTGTCCTCTCCCTGTAGTCTTGACGAGATGTGTGAAGCGTTACAAAGCGCCGGTTTGTGTCAAGCGGAGAACGAGACTGAACTCGTGGAGTTCACGTTCTGCAGGGACCCCCTCTGTCCCGACACACTCATCTTCTCGCAGCATCTTCAAGCTTGGCTCCAGCACAGCAGCCTCACCGCCACACGTGTGCTGAACATACAGGTAGAAATCTGGGTGTGCCTATATTTGAGTCTTAAGAGCTTGAAAAGAAGGTGAGAAGACTTCGTCAGAGGTTTTTGGAAGACATGTCACCTTTCATCCAAGAGTTTTCTTCAGTATTAAAAATTAAAGGAGGAGAGTCCCAGGTATTAGTCCCTTAGGAGGTGGCTGTTGACTCGCCGTTAATGTGTAGCTGAGTCTCCAGAGTGTACTTGCACTTAAAGGTCAAAGGTCACTCTTTCAGGGATGGCAAAATGGCTTGAAAGAGGAATATAAGTGACCATCATCGAACAGAGGTGGTGGCTTAGGACACCTGCTGTCACCCACCTACAATTTATGTCTTGAGATCCCTTACCAGACCTCAACCCCCACTCACACTACGCGTCAGGTGACATAAATAGCTCACATGGTTGGGTGGGACATGGTCTGACAGTGCTTTCCCCCAAAACCTCTGGTGATAATGACCCCTGCCTTTTTTCACCCCTAGTGGGGTGGGTTTCCTTCCTTTCAAGCTCTTAAGGCCACCATGACCAGGATAACTGAGAACCTGTTTTCTCTGGGGTGAGCACTTGAACATAACCTTAGCAAACTAGAGCAAAGAGCGGGGAAGAGTGCTGGACTCATGAGGTGTTCTCACACGTAAACTCAAGACAACATCAGGAGAGTCAGGTCAGAACAAAGTAGCACACAGCAGGCGATCTTTGGGATTGGGCACATTCTCACCACTGGAAGTCTTTAGTTTAGGTGAAGATGCTGCCTGAGATGTGGGAGGTGTGGATGCCACAAATCAGACAGTTTGTAGTAGAGAGCTGGCAGATTAAAGCCCCTCAAGTGACTCGACCAGGATTTATGTTTTCAAGCAGTGGTGCTTATTGGAAAATGCATACAGACTAAATCAAGAGGAGTGAAGCCTTTGCAGATGTCCTATATATCTGCATTCTTTCTAATGATCAGCAGCAGGAACTTGCTCTGGAAGCAGAAGTATGTCAGATTGCATAAAAGTCTATGAGATTAAAGCTATCCCTTACTTGATTTACCTTGGTAAATGCTTTCTTGATGGATGTATGGTCTCAGAAAAACCTTATGGTATTATTTATTACTGCCTGATGGGAGTCCTTAGTTTCTCAGTCAGTTCTAGTCATAACTGTGAAGTCTGGTTTCAAAGAACAAGATGGTGATGACCAACAGCTGACGTCATTCTTAGAGGGGACTAGAGATCTGCTTGTAAATCTGAAAGATTTAAAGTGAAAGCTGAAGGTAAGAGTTAAAAGCGAAAAAGGATTCAGCGAGAGATAAAAATCACTGCATATATTCAGTTTAAAGAACAGCAACAGTGGAAATCCAGCTCACTCACTGTTTTTGTCAGCTTTTCTATTGACGGTCATTTTAGGTCCAGATTTTTCAGATCATTAGCAACACGTGCATTTAGCGTGAGCGCTGCGTGCTCCTCTATAAAAGACTTAAATTAAGAAGGAAAAAGTTACAGGAATCGAAATCAGCAGAAAGAAACACACTCAGTCTGTATGAAGGCTGCCTAATAGTCTTTTTCTAGGTGGAAAGCATTTCACCGCTGTGCGATAAAGTGCAAGTTTTGGCCTTTGATCCAGGCTGACTTCCTGTTGTGATGTGAAGTCTGAAGTCTTGAGTTGAATGACTTGAATTCGATTAGCTGCACAGCGGTCTGTAAGTCCGGAGGGTCCAGCTTCTTTAAGGAGAAAGTAGTCCACCGATCTTGTGTGAATAGCAGACACACCTGTCTGTCTGTCTTTGTAGGACAGGAGCGTGTGCGTGGCAACAAGTGTGTTACGCCCCCTGCTGTTTGATAAAAACGACGTCCTGCTAGCGGGGGCCTTCTCGGCCATGACCGTGGCACACGTGGCTGTTGTGGCTGCTGCCCGCTCGGTCCGAGTGCTGGTGTGTGGCGCTGATCACAACCCCTCACACAAAGAGGAGATCCAGGAACTGCTCACACAGATGGACTTAAAAAGTGAGTCACAAACACTTCAGATTTACTGATCTGTCCCTGTTGCTGCTGATGTCGCTGTATTTGTCCTTTAAGCTTTAAAATTCATGAACCCTAACCCTGAGTTTTGAATATTACATATGATGGCAGCACAGTGCCAACACTAATCCGATCACTCACATGTTGCTCTACATCCTGATGTAGACGTTCGTGTCCTGTCACAAGCGTTTTACGGTCTGGATGACGGAGATGCCACCGTCCAGCGAGTAAAGGTGATCATGGTGCTGCCTCAGTGCTCGTCTTCTGCCCTCAATGACCCGGTGCCCGCTATCCACAGTGAACATGGAGGTAGGGAAATATAAGAGACCCCAACCTCCTGTTTCAATGAGTAAACATAATATATGTTGTTTTGTTTAACATTTGAATATTATGCAGTCATGTCCAAGTAGAGTTAAACAAGGGCAGACGTTAAACAGGTTCTCCTCTGCTGACAGACTGGGGTCTGCTGCCAGATTTGTCCCATGGTTCTGTTTCCAAGAGAAAAATAAACTCTCTGACCGCCCAGCAGGCGAAACTGCTGGCACACGCTCTCACCTGTGAGTAAATACCAAGCACACACACTTTTCACCAACCGAGCTACAACTTAAACACGTTATGTATTTTTATTCCTGTTGGTAAAAAATTCATTTATTTCCTTCATTCATCAGTCCCAAAGGTTCAGACTGTGGTCTACTGCACACGCTCAGTGTATCCCGAGGAAAACGAACAGCTGGTGAAGAGAGTGTTAGAGAAAACACACACTCACCCCAAACTGCTGCCCTACAGGTACAACAAACACACTCGGCTGCATCTTTATACAGTTGTCTGCTTAATAGGCATTTAATCCTTTTAGTCATATATAAATATGAAGTACTTTTTTTTTTCGTTTTATCTTTTGGCATCATTCGTTAATTTCCACAGCAAATAGAAATGGGAGCAACGAGCAGCCCATCTTCTTTTCTAGGGCTCAGCTCACCGTGCAATAACCACAGAAACCAAATGTCATTTCAGCTTTTTTAAAGCTAAACTGTTCGTTTTCTCTTATTGCAGCTGGATTATTATCTCTGAGTCCAAACACAGATGGTAGGACAAACCCTTGCATGAGGCTCATGTGAGTGAAAACTCACAAAAGCTATCAGATAAAGCATGCTGACATTGATAAATTCACTTTATAAGCTTGGAAAGCATGTGATTCCAGCGGATACGGCGGTTTGGGTCACCATTCCCGTGCACAGATTTCTAAATAACCTATTATTTTTACCTTTCTATAAGAGAGTGTGTGTGTAAGAGAGAGAGAGTCTGTCAGCAGGCTGATGACAGCCTAAAGGATCAGCTGCTGTTACCGGTGGGCCTGAGATTAATCCCGCAGTCGGGGTAAACGGGGCGGAGAAGATTTCAGAGTCTGTTTCATGCCTGCTGCTCCACAAAAGTCATTTTCTGCCATCCGTCCGCTTAAAGGAATCCAAATGTTATTAAATCAGCTCACATAAGCTCTTTTATCAACTTGCGTTAGGATTTTAAGCACATGTTTGATCTCTGTGTTTCCAGTATCTGTTCTGTGAAAACACAGATGTTTCAGTTGTTTTTACAAAGGATGACAGTGCACTGCAAACACAACTGCACTTCAGCGAAGTTTGGAGGAAGGAAGTAGCGATCAGTACATAGCCAGGTTTTTGACACAGTTTTTGTATGTTTGCCTCCACAGTGGATTTGAAATCAAATGGTAAATGTGTGATTGAAGCACTGACTTTCAGCAACTTGCATTAACTGTTTAGGAATGACCGGCACATTTATACTCAGTCCACAGAGGCTCGAATGTACTTAGACAAGGGACGAGCAGTTTCATTGCCAGGTGATGTCTGTTCCCCTGGTATTTCATGACAGTGTTGAACTTTGTATTTTATATGAGGCCCAAAGAGATGTCAGTGCAAGTGGGGGAAGCCGTCATTAGGCTGAAAAGCCATAATAAATCTATCACAGAGAGCAAAAACATCAACAGAGGCCACAACCTGGTATGTTCTTAAAAACAAGGAAATTCCTTTAGCAACACCAAAAATTTCTGAAAGACCACAGAAGTCAAACAAAGTGGGATGATGACAGAATTACAAACAACTCAAGAACACTCTGAGGGAGGCAGGTGAGTCCTTGTCAGGATCTACAATCAAGAGATGTCTCCATACAGACGGTTTATGACAAAGTGCAAATCACTGGTTACACTGAAGGACTGGACGACCTGATTAGACTTCAGCAGAAAACATCTAAAAGAGTCCACACAGTTCTAGGAAAACAGATTATTTGGACAGATGAAACCAAGATGAGCTAGAAGAGAAATATAGAAAAGGAGGGGAACTGCTTTTTTCCCCAGATAATGATCAGATTATCAGCATATTGACATGTGCATGTATGGCTGCCAGTGAAACTGGGTCATTAGTGTTTATTGATGCTGTGACTGCTGTGATAGAAGTAGCAGGATTTGTTCAGGGCAGCATGGTGGCGCGGTGGTTAGCGCCGTTGCCTCGTAGCATCACGGCCCTGGGTGTTTGCCATAGGTGCGAATGGTTGTCTGTCTCTGTGTTAGCACTGCAGGAAACTGGCGATCTGTCCAGGGTGCACCCTGCCTCCCGCCCTATGGTAGCTTGGATAGGCTCTGCCCTTCTCATTTAAAATTAAATTTGTCCAGTTAACGCAATACTTTTGTTAAACCCTCCAAATTAAAGCTAAAAGTCTGCACTTCAGTTACTGTTAGATTTAAAAATCCTCTGTGTTGGTGCACGGAGGCAAAACTGCAAAACCTGGATCAATATCAGCCGAACTGTACATTCTGCTTCCACACATGTGACTCCAGTCATGTAACTTAACATGTGAGCTCACAACCCATTATAAAAGCACGAGCGTAGTTTTATCTTAATAGCTTTTAGTGGAGATGAAAAGTTGCCCCACCAAAAATCTGACTGTGTGTGTAAACACTCGACATAAAGAGCACCCTGCTTTCACAATCAGCATTGCATTGAGAATTTTAATGCGAACGAAGGTCACATCTGCACATCGTCTCCATATTTCAGCAAGATTTAGACAGCGCTTGGTCTGCTGAGATTTCTCATTCAACATTTCCTAAAATATTGAATCCTGAAGGGAACTTGGACCAGAAGTATGGCCTGACAGCAACAGCTGCGAGGCCCATAAACAAGACTGTCCTTAGGCTGTGAACAGGACAATCTGTCAAGAGACACCACGAGAAGCACCTGATGAGCCACCCACTCCCATCCACTTACATACAGGAAACCTTTGTGCCTGGAAACTACTGCACTGACACTGAACTGCAGGATGCCCACGTACTGTTTCATGTGACTGCTGTTGCTTGTATATCAAGTAAAACTGCTAGCAACATTGTTTTTCAAGAACTTTGCCACGGTGCTAGAAAGTTTGAAGAAAAGCTGAGGCCGATTAAACAAATCCTGTTTTCTTTATTTGGTTGTCAAAATAATTTATTTCTCTTTGGTTCAATTTCCAGAAGCTGGCAGTTCTTGTGCGCGTTACACAACCATTTACTCACAGCAGGGGAGCTCCGAGTTCTGACGACCAAGTGCCAATTTAGGAAATTTGTTTGTGACTGAGGGCCGCACAGGAAAAATACATCAAAACCATTTAGCATTCGTACAGTCTCTGTTCAGAGAACTGCGATTTATGTTGGTATTTTTTACTATGGTTTACAGCCTTGGTGGTATTTTTATGACCCCTGCTTTATCAGTAGCTCTTAGGAGGTTTTAGTTGGTATCGTGGCTGAAACAGAAGAAAAACACCCCTATGGTTTCATATTTGATGAACTGTGTAGTGATCATCTTTCATTGGCTCATGAGCCACACACACTGTTCCCAAGGACCACAACTATGCATCCTGGGCTTACAGTAATCCTCTTCTAAATGCATGTGATGATGACGAATCAGTGTGAAAATGCTTTCTTTTTCTTCCCGTTCTGTACCGCTCCCTCAGGGTGAATGGTCCAATTTTCCCGGACGACTCCTCGTCAGGAGGCGAAACGGACTCACACAAGTTTTTCAGGCTCGAACCATCGAAGGTCACCAACGGCTGCTTCGTCGCCAGACTGTCCCGACAGGTGAGACACATGGGAGGAGAAAGCGTAAGATGAAAGTAAGAAGAGAATAAAGGACAAGGCTGCTTTTAAAGGACTGAGATTTTGTGATGTGTGTAGAGTATTTACGCGTGTGCGCGCGCATGCAGTTGCTTTGCAACAAGACCTTCTAGTAGTGCTGAGGCTGCACTTCTTTGCTGTCTGACTGCAGGGAGGTCAGTCATCTCTGTGAGCCTGCGCATGCACGCACACACAGTAGGTAGGTGTGTGTGTGTGTGTGTGTGTGTGTGTGTGTGTGTGGACCATTGTTCTGTAAAAACACTGCAGCAATATTCCAATATTCCATAAAAATGAGACAAGCTAAAGATGAAATGCCTGTGAGCCAGTGAAACATTTCAGTACTCCAGAGCCAAGATGAATGGATAATTCTCTGTGTCGCTCTTTCAGCCTTTCCTCCAAGCCCTCAAGCCTTGTTGCATCACCTCATTTGCCCCCTCCCCTTTCTTGCCTCTTGCTGCACTCATAAAAAGAGGGAAAAATACAACAGAAGGAGCTGCTGCTCCTTCGATCACCTGCAGCTCGAAAAATGCTGCAGTGAGGTCCGTAGAGCCACAACAAAAACGATTCAATCACGTTGGGTTTATAATGGTTTACTCATGTATAAAAATGCATTTATAGGAGTTGAAAGTAATATTTAGTAAGTCCCTAGTAACGCTGATCCTTTAAATCTATTGTCATAAAAGAATGTTGCAAAAGACAAAGAAGCTTTAAAAAAATTTTGCTTCTGCAGTGATGCAGATCTACATGCTAAATGTTCACATCTGGAAGTAAACATGGAAAAGATAAAGTAGCATCTTGAAAGCTGAAGGATGAAACGAGTTTAAAACTCCTCGACACCTTTGAGTGCTGAAGAAAAAACAAGAAAGTGCCTTTAAGTGAAATCAGACATTTGACAAGAAGAAAAATGACTCTTTATGGAGGCAGAAACGTTCATTGACATGCATGTACAAGTACACAACAAACCTGTTTGTGCAGACAGTAAACTCAAACGCTGGATGCTGTAGGACAAATGAGAGTGAGAAGCAGAGCAAACACCACCCGTGTAGTCTGCTTGTAGGTACTTGTCAGTGTGAACAAGCCAATTCCTTCAGCAGAGAAGCACTGATTTGAGACATGGCTGAAGGAACGGTTAATAGAATAACAGTTGAAATATAGCACATCCTGCACTCAGTTTGTGAACAAAGAGGACATAAAAGTTACCAGGAATCATTCTTAAATTGGTCTTTCTTCCTGGATTTGTCCCACAGACACACACACACAGAGTGTGGCAAGAGGCACAAATAAGATATTTGTAAGATATTTGTGTGTGTACATATATATATATACATACATAATAAAGACCAGGTGATTGATGTGCAGGAAAGGGTTTCATTTAAACGTTCTCATGCAGAATGTGCTGCTGGTTAAAGAATCATTTCTAATGCAAATCGTATCTTTCCAACACAAATGGGCACGCTGCTGCAGACACCTCTGTCCTGTCCAGCTCGCTGCGGTAATTTAAAATCTAATGATCACGTCTAATTGGATTGACGACCACTACAGCGACTGAACACAGAGCTGGGGCTGCAGATTTTGTTACACTGAAGAGATACCTCATCGATGCGTGCAGATACACAGAAATTAAGGAATGAGAACCCGTCCTCATAGACGAGGGGACAAACTGCACCTGTTCCACATCTGGGAGGTTGTTGAGCTCTATTCCCCTCTCAAGTATCTCCAGTATTTCCTCACAAATTGTAGATTTAGCATTTTAATTTAAAAATGTAAGGGTGTACACACGACTCAAGGAGCCGAGCTGGAAGCTCTGTGTGGTTATCAGTGCTGCTTTGAGCTAATAGCTGAATAACAATGAAGCTTTTGAAGTGGTCACATTTTCCTGATCAATCAATCAACCGGATAGGCGAGATATTTCGGCCTAGACCAAAGTGGTAGACCAATGATCTTGTCACTGAGACTTAAAGTAGACATTTTAATTAGAAAATGATTCATCAGCCTGAAACCTGAAATATTTTATCTGTTAAACACGTGTGACGGGCTGCAATCAGTCATACCGCTCTCCAGTAAACTGTAGTCTTCTGCATTTTACCACCACGTTGGCAGCGCAATTAAAGTTCTGAGGCTTATAAATGACTCAAAGCGTACAATGCTGTCAAAGTAGGAAAAATGGAAAACTGCAGAGACAGATTAAACTCTCAGGGGTGAATAGAAAATGCATTTGTAATATTTTTAAGCAGCTTTCATAAGAGAAGAGAAAGTAAATGATGATTCAGAGAGACTGTGACAGAAAACAGACAGAGCGAAGGTTCGGGAAAATTTAATGGGATTTCTTGTTTCTGCACTGCCGATGACAACCTTTCACTTCTATCCATATAACACTCAGGCTGTAACGTACAAAGTTCATTTGCAGTCCTGTGAAACACTGAGCACGTCCTTTTAGCAGCCAGGTGCTGATAATCAAATGCATTTGATTAAGTGATCATCAGTGATTGTGAGCGCCTCTGTAAAAGCAGAAGTTTGCATAATGTGCTGGTTTTGAGCATTCAGGTGTGTGTTTATGTGGATTTACTTTGAAGCCACAGGACCTGGGCACCTTGCAGTCATGGATTTTACCATGAGCTCCTCTGCACACTGACGTATTCTAGAGTCAAAAGTGAGACCATCTGTCCAACAGCTAAAAGATGGCCTAAATCGGGCCACGCAACAGGGCAGTGACCTCAAACACAGCAGCAAAGCTACACCAGCATGACCGAATGCCCGCAAATCTCAGTGAACTGAAGCAGCGTTGTAAATAAGAGTGGACTAGAATTCCCCCACAATGGCACGAGAGAGAAAACCTTTACTTAATCATTACTTTGGTTATTGCTGCTAAAGGTGGTTCAGTACATGACTGAATCGTGGAGTGTACTTAGATTCGCACGAGACTGCAGAGTCTCTGTGCAAACTTTCTTTTCCACAGGGTTATTTGTGTTTCAGTGTGATGGGGAGTTAGACATTAAAATGAATGTTGCCAAGGTGACTTCATGAAGTAGTTTTGATTACATCATTTTTAGACAAGAGTTATTAACTAACACCAACAAGCTTGGTTAGCAAGCTGCACGGAGTATAAATACACACAGAGATAAATACGATCTAATTTGCACAAAGTAACAAGAACTGAGCACAGACTTCTTCAGACAGCAAGACAAATTTACAAAACTTACAACGTGATAAAGATGCCCCCGAACTCAGAGTTGGTTGCCCATTTGTTTTATACTGAGCTTCTAATCTGTGCATTTCCTCTGTAACATGAGTCTGTGGCACTAACACACCTTCCAAAGCCAGTCTGGAGTGGCAGTGTGGGAAGCTACACTATGACAATTTTCAGCCCGAGGGCTTGTCAACAAAATTCATCTACCCCGAATTTATCGCTTATCTTCCCTCACCTTTTATTTATGTATTTGACTGGATTAATGGCCCTGAAGCTTTAACGCTGGATGATTTTTCGATTGGTCCTGTGTTTTCTGTCCAGATTAAAAATAGTTTCTCTACTATCCACACGGGATAACCTATAATTAATTTGGCAATGCTCGTACATCTGATAGGAGAAACCGAGATAAATTTCAGAGAACTTCTGAGTGCAGGTTGGTTATTCAGTACTTAAAGAAGAAAAACTGAAGTTTGACTTTGAGGGCTGGCAAACATTACAAACACATTAGCATTTTTGTTGTAAGCAGGGTATCATTGTGATGATAGCATTCAGTCCAAAACCAGCTGTTTTCTCACATGGGCATAGAGAGGAAACATAAGTGGTTGTAGACTGTGATCATCCTGGTGCCTTTCAGATGATATTCTTTATTTGCTGCCATGATGCGGTGTAAAAGCCTCCTCCCCCTCCTCTGCAAGTTCGCCTTATGGCTGTAGCTCATTTCCACACCATTGTGTTTTTATTGTGTAGATCTCCCCTGTGCTACGTTTCCCCCGAGACCAGTAATTTTAATGCATTGTGGCTTCACATTAAATCTTCAAACTGCTCTTTCTTCTTCAGGCAGATCCTACTAAGGTGGAAACAGTCCAAGATGTGCTGGCAAGGGCGGCGGCAAAGGGCCTCCTGGGCGGAATGATTCCCGAACAATCAAAAGCTGCTAAAAAGGGGAAAAGCAAGAAGAATCGAGCAGCATCAGCCAGCAGCAAACCTTCATCCTCCTCCAGCCTTGAGAGGGAGACGGGAGGAGAGCTGCCAAATGGACAAGATCCAGTCACACCTTCAGGAGATGATGAGGAGGAAAAAGTGGGCGAGACAGAGAAAGAGGGGGAAAAGAAGAGGAGGGGGCATAAAGGGCGTAAGCGAAAAGTCCATTCAAAGCAAGAACACTACTGTCTCCACGCATGAACCTAAAGGCCACAAGAAGAAACAGACAAAGAAAAAAGTCAACCAATCACATCACAAGAGGCGTCGGACAAAAAGCAAACCGAGACGAATACCTCGCCTTACACTAGCTTTAATGTCCTCTGCAAAACCCTCCAACCACTTGTCTCCAATCACAGCTCTGGCACAGAGGATGAGCATCAATCCAGCGTTTAAATCACAGCAGACATTACTCAGCACGCCTTCCCCCGCTGGAAAGCATCCTTCAACCGCTCTTCCTGCCATACCCACTCCCCAAACCGCCTCCACGGGACTAAACACACAGCCTGAAAGAGCACAGGAAACATCGAACGACGCTGCTAAACCAGCAAAAGAGGTGGTCAGAGCTGACAATGTGGGGCTGCCACCAATCTCCTCCACCTCTCTGCGCAGCAGGAGTGGCAGTTCTGGCTACAGGCCTCTGTCTGGGACCCTCAACTCCCAGCAAGGCAACATGTCTACGTCTTCATCCTCAATCTCTCTGCCTGATGTATAAAAAAAAAAAAGTATTCTCACTGATGTACTAACGCCACATCAAGTGCTTTTTAATTATTACAATATTTAAATTATTTTGTAGCCATTTCTGCTTAGATTTGTTTTTTAAATATATGTGGCTCACTCATAAACTAGATCTTCTAGTAATTTATGTTGACTAATACACAAATAAATTACTACTTGGGCCACAGTGAAGTTCAGTGAAGAGCAGGCTGCAGTATTTGTCAGGCACAAAGTGTAACTACTGACCTGATTGGTACCCATCTATCAGTCAAGGTGGCCACACAACTGAAAAATCAGAACACACTGATCAGAGGTACCTGCAAATTCATCTTGAAGTTTTCTGATGACTCTGCGGTGGTTGGATGCATCAGCAGGGATGATGAGACAGAGTACCGGGCTGTGGTCGACTCCTTTGTCACGTGGTGTGAGCAGAATCATCTGCAGCTCAACGTGGCAAAGACCAAGGAACTGATCGTGGACTTCAGGAAGACCAGGAAACACTTGACCCCTGTTTCAATCCAGGGGGTCAGTGTTGACATGTGGAGGACTATAAATACCTTGGAGTACACATTGACAATAAACTGGACTGGGCTAAAAACACCACAGCACTTTACAGGAAGGGCCAGAGTCGTCTCTATTTTTTGAGGCGACTGAGGTCCTTCAACATCTGCCAGAAAATGCTGAGGATTTTCTATGAGTCTGTTGTGGCCAGTGCGATCCTCTATGCTGTTGCATGCTGGGGGAGCAGGCTGAGGGTCGCAGATGCCAACAGACTTAATAAACTAATCCGTAAGGCCAGTAATGTTGTGGGGATGGAGCTTGACCCCTCAAGGTGGTGTCGGAGAGGCGGATGCTGTCCAAGATAAAGACAATGTTGGATAACACCTCCCACCCACTCCATGACATGCTGGTCAGTCACAGGAGCACGTTCAGTGAGAGACTGAGATTACCGAAAAGCACCACTGAACGACACAGGAAATCATTCCTGCCTGTGGCCATCTCCCTGTACAACGCATCCACTTAACACACTGTTTGCTGCTACAACTACACATGTTTCTTTTCCAACTATTTATTTATGAGTGAAGTATGTATGTGTATATATGTATATATTGTACTATTCTTAGTTAGTGTATTGTCTGTCTTGTCTTAATGTTGGTTTAAAATGGAGCACTGTAACAAAAAATAATTTCCCCCAGGGATTAATAAAGTATTCTGATTCTGATTCTGATTCTGATAAAACAACACTCCACGTTGTAGAACTGTGTCCCTGCACAGTAGGTGTGTACCTCACATCTGCACACCATCTTATCATTTTTGCTTTTTTCCTCCAGTAAAATGACGCACATCTCTTTAATCTTCAGTGATACAAAAACAAAAAGTTTCATGGGAATAAATAACTCTTAATGACTCACGAGCTGCAGACAGCTGGACTCTGATTAAGCAAGAGACCGATCACAAAAATAGCTGCAAAAACACGCGCACGCACAGGTTTTATAATGCTGTTTATTCTCACAATTGGTTACATTGATAAAGTGTACAAATCAGTGAGCAGCAAACGGAAGCAGACACATCCATCAGTGGGAAATGGATAGTGTATATATGTGTGTGTGTGTGTGGGCGTTGTTTATGTGCAAGACTGACAAGAGATGCAAGGAGTCCACTGCTGCTACAATCTTCCTCCTCACCCTCCGGTCAGCGGTTCAGACGGAGCAGTGGACTCCCAGCTCTCGGTACACTGTACAAGGTGAAGATATAATCCATAACCTGCTGTGTTCTGCAAAGCGGAGCTTGTTGTAGCGTTGTGACTAAACCGGGGACTGAGACGATGACAGTCATGAGACTTTACTTGCCCCAACTAATAAAAATCAGTATATACCTTTTATAAAATAGAATAAATAAAATAAAAAATATTTCTGTTCAATACGTACAGTCTCTCTCTCTCTCCCTCTCTCAACCATCCTAGAGCGTGCGAGGCTTTTCAGGACTTTCCGTTTCTCCAGATCAAAAGAATGCATAGATAATTGCTAAGTTAAATTCAGCATCAACTTAACTGCCAACTGTGAGCGCTTCCGATCGCCTCCGTGTTCATTATCTGCTCTCGTATTTTTCTTTATCTACAATGTATATCAGTATTTTACACTTTGGCCATTTGGTGAATTTTCAAAAAATAGAAAAGAAAAAAAAAAAAGGCATTTCATTAGAGGAAAATAACAGGCAAAGAAACACATTAAAGAAAAACATAGCTTATAACGATGATTAATGCCAAATGTTACATGAAATCGGTATTATGTACACAAAGTTTTTGTCATCTCGTTCACATTTCAGCATCCTTGTGACAAAAGAAGAAATCATCTCCGTTACTAAAATAGTTTCTTTAGGTTCCCCCGTGGAGCCAACAGACGAAGTGCAAGACAACATGCTGACCGTTAGCTAAGCCCCCCCTCAAGTTACTGCCTCAGCCCCTGTCAAGCATTTCTTTGTTTTTTTAGGCCACTTATTTATCACAGAAAAGTGACGCAGCACAAACAAAAACAGGCAAAGACGAAGACCGGGAATCAAGGTCTTCGTCAAGGAAAATACCCGTGACTTCAACTCAGCCTCCTAGTAGATGTGCCTAGTTTGAAACTCCTATGTCGCCTCGTTCTCAAGTTTCTGAAAACTTGACCTCTGACCTTGACGTCAAAGTGACTGATATTCAAACTTGTCCAAGACTTTTAGTAGATGCAGCTATGGCATCAAATCCTACGTCACCTTGTTCTCGAGTTATCGCCCTCACAAACTTAGGTGTCCAGGCCTCACAGCTACGAGGGGAAACCCTCCACTCTGCTGCACCCACCCGGAGGACTGACCTGGACGGTCAACCAGAGAAGTTTGGTGACTTCTGCATTGGGTCTCCATAAGGTAAACTTTTTTACGAATGTGCTACAATTGTTACTGCTCCCTTATTCACAGCAGGTAGCTTCATGTGTTTGATTTGGAAGATTTGTTTGTTTTTATCTTTTCCAACTATGGGATGTCATTCCAGACACGAAGGCATCTCGTCCTGGGAACTTGTGCATAGTTACTGAACCACAAACAATTCAAGGGACGGCTGCAGCTCGACATCTTCAAAATCTTCATCTTAAAAAAAGAAATCATGGAATTGTGCAGTATTAATCTGGAAGTTTTGACATTTTAGTTAAAGCAAAAATAATGAATTTTGGACTTTAGATTTTTAAATGCTGCGTCACATATCTGCAGTAACTCTTGAAAGCGTATTACGCGCAGACTAGCATCTCCTGCTAACAGCAAATGTTCAATTTTGGACCCTAACAATGATGAACGTCTTGAACAGACTTTATATGTTTTATGAAGAGTTGGACCATATTTTTTAATCCGGCTGTTGTTTTAACATTAGGCAGTCATTTTGAACCAGCTGCTAGCAATATGATGCTAAATGTCAGAGGCCAGGCTACTCCGTCTGGCATAGAAGTTGGTGTCCTCAGTAGAAAGTGAGCCATGATCCATTCTGCACCGACCTTCTTAGTCCCAGGATAACCAATCAGGTACACACAGTGAAAAATGTACCACCATACTGCAGCAGGTTGAAATACAAACACAGATTACAATTATGCTTTAGTGTTTCTATTTCTTTAAAAGGAGCCTATAAAGAGAGGACAGAGCTCTGATGTAGCAGCATCGTCTGGAAAAGAAGCCGAGAGTGAACCCAAAGCTTGACAGGCTCTAATCAGGGGGTTTAGCAAAAGGTCGCCTAACAGAGTATTAATCTGCTGCCCCACACCCAGGAGGGAGATGCGTTGTTGTGAGGATCTTATGTGATTTTTAGGTGACATAAAGGACTTCATTAGTTATTACCATACATCCAAGCTTGTCAGATATGTGATAATAAGGAGCTAGCAGGTGAAACTGGAACTCTGCACAACACAGACACAGAGCGAGCGGTTTCATTACACTGATGAAATCAGACGTACAGTGAGTAGGGAAACACAAGGCGCGTTCAGCTGAACACAATCCTGGAGACAGACCGATATAGAGTCCATTAAAGTCCGTCAGTCTGGGTCAACACGTCTCTCTGCTGGCTTTCCTCTAGAAAACATCCACAGCTAAAGAGAAAATTGTCCTCTCTCTTTCTCAAATCACAGTTCACATCAGCTATGGACTAAAAATCATCACAACCACACCCAGGTATAAAAACGCATTCCTCAAGTGTTCCTCCAGGCTTGTTTGTGTTTTTTTAATGCCACCCATGATCTTTATTAGTTTAAGTGAAGTCTGATGACCAATACTGAGGTGGGATTTAAAGGAATAATCCGTCAAACTTCCTCTAACATGTGTATTAAAGAGCAGCAGCATGCTGAAGGTCTCCTGTGTTTGGAGCAGCACTGTACTAGAGAGAGAGAGGGTCAGCGCCACCCGCCCTCATCTCATCCTCCGTTATGGCTATCTTCTGTCATTTCCTAGAGGGATGGGAAAAGAATAACAACGTAAACAAGGAAATGCACGAAGTATGTTTCGGGTGAAAGGTCACCACTCGTTCAGACGCGGGGCTGACTCTCGCACAGCTGATGAGAAAGAACGAATAAGACAGGATAAACGAACCGTGCGACTTCTGATTTCTCACCCTCGAGTCTCTGAAAGCAGCAGCAGTGTATTGATATTGTATAGAATGATTCACATTTAGATAAAAAGCTCATGCAGGGTCAAGTGGTTGGAGGGTGTAGACTGAAACAAATCTCTTTATCTTCCAATGATCATCCGCTGATATGAAACTTTTCATCTCCTTACGGTTACAGTCTACTGAAGATGATGAGCAAGAGAGCTCGGGGGGGAGGACAACCCGGTGGATGAGGTTGGAGGAGGAGTGTGGCCAGGTGTGAAAGGTCATGCTGTCAGCACAGGCACAGACACAAATGCACAAAGAGCATGGAGAGATCAGCGGTTTGGCGGCAGCAGCAGCACACAGGATCACTTCCTACTTCTTCACTTCCTGCCCTCTTCTCCTCTGCTGCTGTGAGCTGAGGGGAATGAGACCTACTTCTATGTACACCATCGCCTGCATGGCCGGCACTCAGGTGGTCCTCTTCAGATGTGGGGTTGGTGCCTTTTTAATTCTCACTTATTTGGAAGAAACAGACTTGAATTGCGGCTCAAGAGCCAATTAACTCTTGAGGTGAAATTCCAATTTGCTTCCAAACCAGTGAAGGAGTTGTGACAGGTTAAACCCCCCCACCCCTAAAAAACCCAAGGGTTTTACTGCGTTTCCATGGCTACTGGGGTCTGTGGTGGTG